TGATATCATGGATTCTATTAAGATAAACGACAACTACCTAATTCAATTTTCTTTTAGCAATGGTACGTCTACGTGAGAGGGTGGTGGTTAGAAGCTACCAGGATTGTTGTGTGGTGGGGAGGGGGGTCGCCAATAATAAGGCATTAAGGCCTTGTTTGGCACACCGTATAAGACACCGGATAGTATTATATAATACGAAACAGGTGTTTGGTGACCTTTCGTACTAAATAAGCACCGAATTATTAATCCGGCCCCACCTATTTTGTCTCCCTTACACCCGCTTGTTTATCCCGACCAAAACCTTGGGATTATTTAGTCGGGTTCACACGAACAAAAACACACTAGCTTTTCTCCAAGCCATCTCGCCATCTGCTCTGCACATCACTAGCTTCTCAAGGTATTCTTTCTCTTGCTATTTCTCCATCCCCACCTCTGATCAGCATCAAGCAAATTTCAAACGGAAAGGTTGCAGATCGAACTCAAATCACGTCGGGAGACATTATATGAGTTTTTGGCTGAACTGTTCATTGTTTGTTGATGTGTGGTGATTAAACTCAGAACTGGGCAAGATTTCATCTGGGTTTTTATTTCAATGGATTAGAAACTCATATATGGGCGAGATCTTATATGGATCTTTTAATTAAATGGATTAGAAGCTCAAAATTGGGTTTTTGGCTGCCATGATTCCCCTGGAAGGATGGAATTGATGATTTTTTAAGTGCGTTTCATTTTTGAATGAATGAATCTGGATGTTTGCTTCTGTAAATTGAACCCGCATGTCTGTGCTGGGTTCTTTCTGCGCTGCTGCTTGACCATCCACCCACGCTGGTGTAATGGCTACTGGGTTCTTTTTGCATTTGACAACTTGTTTTTTCTATTCTTTTTCTTTTCCAGTAATTACCATACATAGTATAAATAATACGGTCATTGGTCCGATATTGCACTAAACGCCCGACTAATTTAGTCAGTACTATCCAGTGACTATTTATCCTATCAAACATAAATAGTCAGTACAGTCCGAGCTGCCAAACAAGGCCTAAAAGTCATGGGCAAAATTGATCTTGCCTTTTAACCTATGATGTGAGGGCGTGGTTGTTACAACTTGACACAAACGACACGAAGATAATGAGTCAGGTTGTTATTAAGTAATCCATTAACGTGTTGGGTAGTTATCGGATTGTCCATTAAAAATTCGATAAGATATTGTTTGTCAGACATAAACATTAAGCATAACAATATTCTTGCATGACCTATTAATCGGACATGAAATGACACGATCTGTTAATTAATTGGATTATTTTTGGGTCATACGTTAAAAACTAGTTAAAATTACGAGTTTGACATGGCACAACTTCTTAAGATAATAAATATGATATGAAACCGATATAAACACAAAAAACATGAGCCGGACCTAAGTCTAATAATAAGGCGTTAAATCAATCATGCTTTTAACCTAGCTACAACGTGAGGGTATGGTTGTTGGAAGCTACTAGGTTTTTGTTTTGTTTTAAGGGGTTGTCGTCGTCCAATAATAAGGCGTCAAAGGTCATGGGTAAAATTGATCCCACATTTACGTCTGACCCATGATTTGACATGCCGTGACTCATGAAAGAAAAACTTTCTTAGCCTAACTTGACGGATCAAACAAGCGCAAGGAACTGATCTCTTCCACCATGATTACCAAATTAAGTGATCTGGGTATTTGAAATTTCATCAAATTGTCAAAAATTATCATAACTTTTAAAGAATCAAAACATGTAGATCGTTGGATGAAATTTCAAAAACCTAAATTACTTGATCCGGTAACCTTTGTGAAAGAAATCCGGAAAAATCTCTTTGTGCAACCAAGCACATGCCCAACGTTGTGCGTCGTAAATTCTTAATGTAAGAATGAAAGCAGAGAAGAATGGAATATAAAAGATGAATGTTCATCAGTTGTAAAAACTATGCTATGCGTAAGAAAAAGGGATATTAATCCTTTATAGGGCGCGTTTACTAATCCGTAATCAGATTGAGAGGAATTGGATTGAGGAGGAATTGAAATGAGGTGGAATCAGAATCAGATTCATATTGAAGTTGTTTACTAAAATTGTATGGAATCGAAGTAGCAATGATGTTGAGTCCATGTAAGTTGTTTACTAATTCACCTAAATCAGAATAAAAATCAATATGATTACTAAAATACCCTTGTTCTATTTTGTTTTATTTCATCCGTATATTTATTTTTAATAACATTTTAATTTGTTTTATTTCAAGCCTTTATTCCAAAAAATTAAAATTGTATACAAATTTATTGAATTACCAATATTAAAATATTAAACAATTTAATAATGCTCTTATTCAAACCCAGTTGAATAGAAGTATAGAACACTTCTCATCTCTCTGCAAGTCTGCATACCATTTCTCTCCTGAGTCCTAACCCTCACCTCTACCTTCGCCATGCACCCTACACCATAGTGATGAACCAATATTTATACTATATATTTTCCCCTTTTTATTTTTCTTTTATTGTCTAGTTTAGTTGGAAGTTTAAGTATTTATGAGTTTTGCCATTTTGTGTTTCTAGGAGCAGCAAGATTGAGTTTGGTGGAAAAGTATGCAAACGTTGGAATTTTTTAGTGATTCCAGTTGGAGCTGATTCACAAGAGATCGAAGATGATCATATCAAATTTTCAGCTCAAAATTCCCAGCCAATTGTTCCCAGCTTAAGAATGAAGACAAGTCAGCGTGCTGACAAGGCAGTTTGGACCTCTGAAGGTTGCACAAGAGATAAGTACATAATTAAAGCCTAAATTGAGGAAACTTCCTTCTTAGCTTTTGAAGCAGATCTTTCAAGCTTTCTAAGGACATCTCATTCATTGAAATCTAAGGAATTTTGGTCCACTAAACGTTGTGGCCAAATCTGCCCACTCCATTTGGCTAATAAAAATAAGAAAGTAAAGACACTTGTTTTGTGCTTTACTTTGTCATCATCACTCAATAGACAATGGGGTTTTCAATCCCACTCATTTGGCCTTTGTAGCATTAGAAAAACAGAAGCTTACTTTGTCTAATAAAGAAGGGGACAACAATGATGGCCTTCCACTTGTGGCCTTGGTGCTTTGAAAAATCATTTCCTTTTGTTTAAGGCAACACATGGCAAGACAGAGGAGAAGTGCATATGGCAACGGATTAGAACCATAGAGGGACAACACGGCAGAGAGTAAGGAAAAGTTGCAGCGTTGGAGACAGTTGTAGCGAGCAACATAGCAGAAAGCAAAAGGGATGCCACAGCTCCAAGAGGATCGGAGAGCACAGGAGATAGCTTCCTTGTAAAAAAAGGGTTGTCTCTTTCTTTGATTCTTCATGGATAATTTCTTATGTATTCAAATAATTATGTATAACTAATTTCCTTTTGCTATAGTGAGGTCATGAGCCGCAACATGATTACGTAGATTTCTCTTTCAATTGCTTAAGTGTTGTTACATGCTTGCTTTGATATTTTCAATCTCTAAATTAAACTATCTATGTGTCATGCTGATTGATCACCATTAGGATGCTTAAAAAAGTCATTGGATGCAATTTTGAACGAATGTCACGTTAAAATTGGTTATGCTTCTTGCGATTGAGGATTGTAATTTCTCCTAAGGTAAATATCATACTCTTAGGGATTACATGGTTTAACAAAAGGATTTTCATCAAGATTAATGAATCATTCATGTTTATATTTAATCCAAATGTCATAAATAAATTGCATGTAGTGGTATGCGTTTTAACTTGAATGTCACAAGTAAAACATACACAAGGAAAACCCAACCTTCAAAGCATATGTGTTTTCGATTACTTAAGCAATTGGAAAAGCTACGTAGGAGTATTGTTGGTAAAAGGTTGAACTCTAGCACCTTGTCAATCTAATTTTCTTAAATTATTTGTATTATCTTGAGTTTATATATTTATTTGTTTTGTTTAGTTGGATCACTATTCCTATAAGCCAATTCCCATTTTAGATATGTGTTTAAGTCACATCCAGTAGTATTTAGTTTCGTCAAATTAGTGTAGTTTTTAGAGTTAAATAAGTTAAATACACAAAAACTCGTAAATTGTTTATATCAGTCTCTGAGGAGATCGACCTTACTTGAGCCATTCTATACTACAAACATTTGTTCTCTTGCAAGAATTTTCTATGGTTTAACCCTTGTTTTACAAGTGGTAAAAATCACCATCACATAGCCATCACCTTTTCCACCTGCAAAGTATTTCATGATTTATGGGTTTGTTGAGTGATTGCTTCCACATATTTGTGGGTTTGGATTTTAATTGTTTATTTTTTTGTGTTTGGGTGGTTGATTTTGATTCGATTTGCGAGATACGTGGCTGGGGTTCTTAAGTTGGTGGGATGGGAGGTGAAGCTCGATCGCACAGGGAGGTGGCAACTGGAAAGTGAGGCGCAAACGCATGAAGGCAGGGTGCACAGGTAGTGGTGGGCTGTTGGGTTGAGTGGTAGACTTGAAATTTTAGAAATAATGAGAGGGTCATAACAGGTATAAAAAATACATTCCTAATTTCATCACTCATCTGAAATTCAAATACCTCACCCATCTAAGGAGTCCAATTCCTCCAATTTGGGGAGTTGGATTCCTGATTTCATGTGGGTCCCACGATTCTTTTGATTCCCTCAGGTTTGGTAAACGCTTCAATACTCATTAATCGGAATTCAACTCCTTATTTTGATTCTGATTACGGGTACGTAAACACGTCACTAGATTCTCTTTGTGGAGATTCTAGGGATATCGTATATTATGCAGTCAGCTTTCGTTAAGTATTATTTCTGTTTAATTTTAAATAAATAAATATGAAATAATTTCTGATATATGATAAATGACTAGGATACGAGGTATCATAGAATTCCCACAACTTAGATCCGGCTGGAATCCAAATCTCAAAAAAGGATGTGAATCATGTGATCTCTCTAAAAACGCGAAATTTGTCCACCTACTTTTACACCTGTACTGCATTTACTCCTCTGTTATTTTCTAATAAATTTGAAAAAAAAAACTCACGGAATCACCAATAAATATTCATCCTCCACACCTTCATTTCTACCAATAGACACCCTCAATTTCACTGGAAACCACCGTGACTCGGTTGGCCAGTGCCGTCGTCCTCCTCATCGCCTTTTGCAGCCGGTAGCCGAAACCTTATTGGAGACATTTACTCTTGTTTTATAGGGTGCCCTACTTTACAAATCCAAAACCCTATCACCTTCTCGTCTTCAACCTCCAAAACCCTAGGCTTTTCTAGACTCGTACCTTGCAGTTAGGCGTCGCCCTCAATCCATGACTACCAGTAAGTCTTTCTTCTTCTTCGTTCTCCAATTATTGTTCTCGTACTTGTTTCCAATAAAATTAAATTGAAAAATTAATTGGGGATTTTGCAGGATTGCAATTCGGGAACTCGTGCGATGTTGGGGTATTTTCGAAGTTGACGAACGCTTACTGTTTGGTCTCCATCTGTGATCACGTGTGCCTCTTTTTTTTTTTTCCAAATTTAAGAGATAACAAAGGAGTAAAATGCATTTAAGGTGTGTACGTAAGCGGACGATTGTTGCGTATTTTTTTGGTGCAAAAGATTTGAACTCGCAATATTTGCCTATTTTGAATGCCTAAAAGGGGATATTTTTAATTGCTCGTATTGATTGAGCATTTAAATTTAAAGAAAATACTCTTTTATAAAATATGTTATGTGATTATTGTGTGATTAATTGTGTGATTCGTTATAAAATTAAGTACCTAAAATCCCTCAATTTTGTAGTGTAATTTTAAATTGATCTCAACTTTTTAAACATTCTAAACAAGTATCTAACCGATTGAAAATGTCACATCCATTAAGTCTAAGTTAACTTTTTCATTAAATGTACATGTGGCAACAACGGGTCCTACTTTTTAGCTTACATGGACATTCCGATAATAATAAAACTAACCTCAAAAAGGCATGAAGGTGAAAAAATAAGGGGTAAATTACATTTTACCCCCTCAGGTTTGGGGTCGATTGCAACCTCATACAACATTTTTATAACATTTCAATTTTATACATTTACTTATCATTTTATTTCAATTTCTTACATCCATTACAAAATTCGTTAAGTAAATTGTTAACTGATAACGTGTAAAATATGGGATCCAAATTTGTGCTGACGTGGCTGCCAAATTTGTGCCATGTGGCAAAAAAAAATTCTATGTATTTAAAAAATAATAATTTAATCAAAATATTAAATACTAAAATAATTAATTAAAGAAAGTTTTTTTTATTTTAAATAACCCTAAAACCCACGTCTTCTCCGACCCACTCCCTCCCTCTTCACCTCCCCGACCCACCTTCTCCTTCCCCTCCCTTCTCTTTCCCAAGAGACCCACTCTTCCCTCTTCATCTCCCTGACCCACCTTCTCTCTCTCATCCATTCTCTTCACCTTCCATCCCTTCACTCTCCCCATATCAACCTACACATAGCCCTAATCCCCAAAATTTTATTAGCCCCAATTTTGAACATTGGATCGAGTTGTCATAGAAGGACTCGATTTCGGGCGACCATAGTTTGGAATCGGAGGTCGGAAAGGAAATTTGATGGGGTGTTGAGCCAGGTGTCGAGGATCTCGACGGCGAAGTCGGCGAGTACGTAGGAGTTGTTGATGAAGCGGGAGTTCTGGGCGTCGGAAGGGATGAGACAAGTGGAGGCGTGCGAGCAAGTTACCGGAGGGAGAAATGTTGCAGTGGGAGGAAAGGAGGAGGTGATGGGCTTTGTCTGGCCTTCACCTTCGTCCCCAAAGAGTGACCAAAAGTTGCTGGCCGACATAGGAGGCTGGGGTATAGGCATCACTTGGAAGAAGAAATCGAGGCAAGGGTTTGAGGTGGTGATAAAGGTGGGAGAAAATTTGGGGGTCTCTGGGTTGCTTGAAGCTTTGCGAATGAGGAAATCGATGGTGGTCGTGTTGTAGGGAGAAGCTTGGTGCGGAAGTGATGGGGAAGGGGGTGGTGGTGGTGTTGGAGGGAGAAGCTTGGTGCATAAGTGATGGTGATGGGGGTGGTGATGGGGGACGGGGTTGGTGATGGGAGAATGGGTGGCTTGGGTAGGCAAGGGGGTGGTGGTGGGAAAAGGGGTGGGGAAGATGAAGAATTTGTATTTTTTTTAATTAATTATTTTAATATGTTAATATTCAAATTAGATTTTAATTTTTTTATTAATTGTTTATGCCACGTGGCACATGCTTGTCAGCCACATCAACACAAATGTGTATCTCATATTTGCCATGTCATCAGTTAACGATTTACTTAACGGATTTTCTAACGGATGTATAAAATTTAGATAAAATGATAAGTAAATGTATGAAATTGAAATGTTTTAAAGATGTTGTATAAGGTTGCAATCGACCCCAAACCTGAGAGGGTAAAATATAATTTACCCAAAAATAAAAATAAATAAACAAATTCACAAATAAAATGGAAAACTAAAATGAAGATTGGAAAATATCAAGCCCCCGCCACCTCTGCAAGCTCAATCTATGACCACTTAAACCCCATCCCAACCTTTATATTTAAAACCAACCAGCTGAGAATATTATGGTTAACATTAATATTAGTTGTCTCAAAATCTAAATTTCAAACATAGACTAAATAATATGGAACTCGATGATCAAATGGGTATTGATTGAGTCGAAAATGGACCAAATTGAAATTACATTAGTTAGGCAATCTCCTAACAAATAAGTGGGTTAAGAATTCAGATAGGGTTTTCAATAGGTTGAGACCAATTTGAAATGACACTAAAAGGTTGAAGAGTTTTAGGTACTTAATCCTTTTATTATGTACTGCAATTGGACATGTCTATATGTTTACAACATATGAGTTGCCTTTTGCTATACAACAATATTTTGCATTAATAAGTGGGGGATTGGAGCTATACCAACAAGGTGTTTGCATAATAATGTGGTAATGAATTCACTTTCCACGAAAGTTAAACCTATGGCCTTTCATGTACAAATAAAGAAGAATACTACTATAATGTTGTAGTAGTTGTAGTAGTAGTAATAGTAGTGATATTATGAGTTGGCCTTTTGCTAGACACGTGTTGACTGACACCAGAGGGCGACGAAGTTATTAAAAACATGCATACCAATACAATATGTAATTAGAAAGATATAAACGGATGCATAATAGTGTTCAGAGCATACAACTACAAAGAATAATATGGAATGAATTATTAAGAAAATATACGAACAAGGAAATGATGCCTTTACTGAGAAGACTCGAGAATACCTATACTTTAGAGTCTTGAAGTCGAGATCATGTGCCTCGATCCTCACTCTTGAGGGGGCGCAAAACCAGAAAAGGTGAGTGGACCAAAGTTTATAATAATAATATTAATAATAGAAAACCCGTTTTCTTTATGAACATAGTAACCCCCTATTTTGAAAACATATATATAATACTACATATAGGTTTTATGAAAAACCCCAGCATGCCATGTAAAACATTTGTAAATCATGACCGTGAGGTACTCAACTAGGGGTATCATAGTCGCCTGAAGGCAGTACATGTCCATCACCTGAAGGTAAAGCAGAATAAGTTGTCTATCACTAGTAGGTGAAGCTGTATAAAATAACATACATCCACACCGACACTAGCCATGGCTAGTGAAGCTGTCCGACATCGCTTTCAACGGTGAAGCTGGGGGTATATAGTATATCATATAACACTCCTCCATCATCTATGTACTATGATAGACATAATACCCATGGTGTGCGGATGTGCCGTATGATAACCCACTAGGTAAGCACCAAAAACATATCTCAAAATCCCACGTAAAATCCGGCACTCGAAAGCTCCCTAATCTTATAAATCATAGAAACTTTCTAGCTCAATTCATCAATATAAATCATAATGAATCAATATCCATAAATCCATCATATAAATCATAATCGAAATCCATATACGCAAATCCAATCATTCATATCCGCTCGTAAAAACATAATTTTCAATAAATCATGATATTTTGTAAAGCAACTTGATTAAATCCTGAATTCTATATAAACCATAATTATAGAAATCTGGAAAACATATTAAATGCACGGAATATGAAATGCATGCTAGGCTAATATTTTATAAAAATATACAAGTTATGAAGGGGTCCACTCACAAGTTTTCCATTGCCCGAAAACCGCTTGAACTAGCGAGGATAACGTCGCTTCCTGCCAACGTGCCTAAACACAATCAGGGACCTTTTAGTAAAACTATACTAAAACGTTATAATTTTGGAAAACGGATGGCGGATTCAGATTCGACTCGTCGAGGAACCTAAGGAAGGACCTCGGGTTTTTCCCCCACAAATTGCCGCGAGTGGACTCGCCGGAAAATTCAACAATCTCCAAAAATTCCCAAATTTTACAGGAATAAAGATATGAATGAAAGGAACAACTTTCATACCTATGGCTAAGGCCAATTTGGCCGAGAAAAACCCCAATTTCACTCGAACCCGTCGGAAACCCTAAAAATTGGTAACTTTGATTCTACTTCTCCGGTGCTCCGACGCCTCCATGGTTGGTTGGGGTTTGTTACTATGTTCAAGGAGAGTCTAATGGTGGTAGAGATCGATAGAAATCATTTCACAAATGGTGATTCAAGGCTGAGACCCAACTAGACCTGTCGGTGGGTTTTCTCACCACATCGGGGCTAAAATTCGTCGGGTTTGGTTAGAATTAGGTGTTGGGTGTTGTGGTGAGGTTTGGCGGTGATGGAAGGTTAAAGAAAGCTGGAAAATTAGATGTAAAACTGTTGGGAAACTCCAAGGAAACCGGGTCATCACTCGAGTCAAGAGAAACCCGGTCGGTTCTTCTCCTTCTCTCCTCCCTCCTTTCCATCCTTGCTTTCTCTTCTAATTGGTCCCCTCTCTTCTCTTATTTCCTGATTGGGCAGCGCCCACCCTCCTTCCTCTCATTTATCTTCTCTCATCCATCCGTTTCTCTTTTCCTTCAATCTGGGCCATACAAGTGGCTCAATCAGATTTTGCTCCAAAAATCTAGAGCCTTCTAGAAAATAATCAATTCACAATTTTGTCCTCAACTTTGTTCGTTAATAACTCTTTCGTTATAACTCCAAATTGCGTTCCATTTGCGCACACGTGTTTATAGCGACAAGTATTACGAATATACACCAAGAAAATGAATCTTACGTGACACGACAAGGTGGTCAACAAAAGTCAACGTATTTGCTTTGAAGGGCATTTTTGTAAATTCACACTTTTTAAAATTATAAAAACCGTAATTTTTTGGGATGGGTCGTTACACTTGAGTTAAAAGAAACAATGTGATTAGTGGTATTTCTCTTTAATTGAAAGTGACAAGTCTCAGGTTGGACTCACTTAATTAACAAGTTCGATACCTAATTATTCTGATTAGCAATGCTCTTTTGGTATAGAAATATCGTTGTTATGTTTAAAGAACTCTATAGTTTAGGAAGAATGATATATATATATATTACAAATATATAAAAAATTATCATTTATCCAAGCTATATTGAGAGAGATATTTGAGCACACCTTGAGTTTTAGAACAAATGTTTTTAATCACTTGAGCTATAATTAAGCCCCTAACTACTTTATAACAATGTTTAAACTAGTAGATGGATCAACATAGAATAAATGTGTGACACATTTTTATACATTTATCAGCCATACAATTCATATTTTGCCTAATTATTTTCAATTATTATTGGTGTGGTATTTATTTATTATATATATCAACATGGTTGATATATTGACTTTTTGTTGTTTTCACATTCGTCGGGAAGAGAATGTGTGTGCGGATAGTTTTGATAATCTGAGCTTGTCTTATTCATCTTTGATGTGGCATGACTTCCCTCCTTAAGCACTTCTTGCTGATTTGCAGTTGAATTTCTAAGCTTGATTGGTTTCTGATTTTCAAATTAACGGTTCCCTTTATTACTTCATTTTGCAATGTTTTGGTTGATGATGTCCCGACTGTTGTTTTGTCTTTACCTTTGTATTATTAATAACACAAATTTACACGGGAGAGCAGGGGGATTTTTTTGGGTGCTATAGTCCTCTTTGCTTTCAGAGAGGATATGTGCCTTGCACACAACTATTACCGAAGAACTAATATTGTTCTACAATTGAGTACGTAAAAAATGTAACTACAAAGAGATTTGAAGCCAAAATGGTCATCCGAACTCCAATGTTCGATTGCCCCTTCCCCGTTATCTCTTCTATCAAAAGAAATAGTACAAAACTACTTTCCAAAAACACGTGGTCACAAGACAATAAGTGTTGTGGAGGGTAGAGAAACATGCACCGCGCCAGAAGATCAAAGCCTTCCTCATATTTAAGTTGGGATTCAGATTTGAAAGAGAGAGAGAGAGAGAGAGAGAGAGAGAGAGAGAGAGAGAGAGAGAGAGAGAACGAGTTCAACGAAAGGTTGTTTGATGTGATTTTTGCATGCAATTCTTAATCTGTTTTGTTGGTGACATGCATTGCAGGTTGAGGGGTTGAGAGAGTGATTAATGTAATTACAATTTACATGCATAGAAACATTAAACGTACACATAAAATGCTGGATCCGGTGGATGTGGATATTGCAGATTCTGATTTTCTCACCAATCAATCAGATCTTGAAGACTCTTCCGACTCCGACATTGATAATTACTGCTTGGCTTTTACATGCAAGAACCGATTGTTTGGTCGCCAGAAGCCTCTCCATGTTGTCCTCGGCGCCGGTGTATGTACGTAAATTGTGACTCTAATTTTTTTTTTTTTCCCTTTCTGATTGCTGTAAATTTAAGACTACTTACTAATCTAAAGTGAAATTAATTATTGTTTTTCAGCTGCTGATATTATACTTTGGAGGAACAAGCAGATCTCAGCCTACATTTTTATGGGTGCAACACTCATATGGCTTCTATTTGAGAGATTAGGTTATAGTTTGGTCGTGTTCTTTTGCCACGCTTCATTGCTCTCCTTGACAGCCTTGTTCTTGTGGTCCAATTTTGGTTCCTTAATCCATGCTGTGTGAGCTCCTTGATTCTTTTATTTAAATGGATACAAAACGGAAAATTTACATAAATAGAACCGGTTACAAACTTTTGTCGAAAATAATACTAAGAGGACACTAAACAAACAATAAGTTGTATATAAATCACGTTTTAATGCCCTTTTATTGTATGTTTAGGGTTCCTCCGGTTATGTTTTTTTATTTGAGTTTGCAAGCGGTTATGTTTGTGCTTTTTTTTTTAAATTGGTTTTTTCATAGGTGTCTGTGTTATGATTTCTGGATAGAATATGATCATGAAACAGGTCTGCACCGGAAATTCCAGAGATTGTAGTACCACAGCACCTGTTTATGAGGACTGCTATTTCCATGACAACTACATATAATCAAGCATTAAGATCATTTGGGCAAGTAGTTTTTGGGACAGACATAAGAGATTTCCTCGCGGTACCGACATTTTTATCTGCTTCTAGGCTTTGTTTATGCTGTAAGAATAGTAAGTTTTGATTGAATTTTTCAACTTTGACGTAATGAACTCGTCTGCAGGTGGCGGCAACTTTGTGGGTTCTGTCTGTTGCCGGAAGCCGGTGCAGTTTCTTGAGCTTCCTTTACTTAGGTTTGCATCAGCTCCAGCTGTTTCATCCCTACTATTGAGCTTTTAGTCCTCTAGGATTGTGTACTTTTACTGCCATTGATACTGTTTGCAATGTTTACATCAGATTCCTCTTTCTGATTCTTGAACGAGTCCCCCAGAAGGCTTAGTTGCTCCTCGATTTATGTTTCGCCTATTTTTTGTACATCTTGTTGTTGCATCGAAACATTTGTTCACTAATCTGCCAAGTAAAATGACAATGTTGGTTTAGTTTTGTATAATTCTTTTGTGACTGTTCGCTCTTTGAGTCGATTGTTTCCATTCACTCTACTTCTTGCAAGCAATGTTCCACATACATCATTTTTTGCCGAGTATATGCTAATCGTGGTCGCTTCTCTCAGTTAGTTGTATGCTTATTTATTGTATCCACAGAGGAAGGGGGAAACGAACTTGGAACATCTAAATATTGTGAAGAAAAGTACCATTAGACTAATAGCTAGTTGGTCGTGATTTATCTGCTATATGTTCCCAAGACGAGTACTGACTCTTTCGTATCGGTTGGTGCAGTGTTTGTGATACTGATGACCGTGCCAGCGTTGTACGAGAATCTTGAGGATAGCGTGGACAGCATTGCAGAGAAAGCACTGATTGAAATAAAGAAGCAGTATGCAGTGTTGGATGGAAAAGTTCTGCAGAAACTCAAAAAGAAAGTAATTTCTTACAAGAACAAAAAGCAGCCCTAATTATTTGCCAGCCTTCCTGTTTTGAGGTTCTGCTGGACTCTTCTTCTTCATATAGTTGGTACAGTTCATATTTCGATCTTGCTTGTTTCGTTCCCTCGGGTTCGGATGTAGAAAAATATGTTGCTTTCTATGTGTTTCACTATTAGCCTTGTTTAGTTTTCCTTGAGGAGTATTGATCAAGAAAAGTAATCATTCACCTTCCTTATTCGATTGAAGAAAAAGTATTTGTTCATATTTCGGTTTCTGATGTGAATGAAATCGAAAGCAATATATAATCGTGCATGACACGAGCAAACTTCTTCATCCTTTTTGGACAGACACAACTTCTTGAATATACTCTCTTCACACATTAATAGGCAACTACAAAAGTTTAACATAAGGTGCTAACCTCCCAAAACTACACATTAGCTACATGCATCAACTTAAGCTCTAGTTAGTAACAAACGGCGAAATCCACGTCGATAAAATTGAAAGGACAAGGCAAAAAGAAGTGATTTACGCTTTGGCCTCCTCTTTCGATCCTGGAGGCAAGAAGGGTCCCCACCACCCGGATTCATACTTGGAATAAGGTGCTACCCATTTCTGCGGCTTCTCAAACTCGATCTTGGTTGGATTTGAGGCTAATGCTTCTTCTAGACTCGCAGCTTCAAAACTTTCTGCTAACACTCTGTCCAGTCTCAGCTTCATAAACCTGCAGGCGCAAAACATGATCAGATTCAGAAACACTGCCACCATTGTAAGCGTCACAGCTTTCATATTTCTACTTATGTACAACCACATGAAGATACTTCTTGTATTGAAACATCTTTTAGCTGAGAAGGAATTGTTGTTAGCATATCTAGACTTCAATCGTGTAGAATCTCTTTTTACATTGTTGTTACCTTGGTAGACAACGTAATCATTCTCAAGAAGCTTCAAGTTTTGGGGATTACTGGTTTTCTAACATCATATCGTAGAATTCAAAAACCACTCTAAACCCCCTTTCCATCACTTATTTGTTAACTTATAAGATGCAAGGTGAAGATGCACATGTATGAATCTCTATGTCCGCCTCTCAATGCGCAGGATAGGGCTGCACACGACAGACGGTGCTAGCTTGACATACAGTTAACTCATTCTTTAACAACTTAAGCTTTCGAATTCTAGCCATTGTCTAACAGCCGATTCTACATATTGATCGATCAAATCTAGAATTTCACCATCATCAAACTTTGTCACAATACAATTTGACACTAATAAACAACAGCAATTCCCAATTCATTCAACCTCTGATCCTGCTACACTACATCACTACTTAACTAACAAAACGTATGTATCTAGCAACTTCGATGTAAATTTCGATCCTGAAACGAAATAAGCTCGAACAAAACAGAAAACAACAAATCAAAACCGAGCAAGTTCGCAGTGTTGGTGACTTTAGGAGTAAAGAAAAGGGAGAACATACGTAATCCAAGGTCCGTTAGTCGAAACCAGAGCAACGGCAGGCCTTCCTAATCTCTTAGTAATGTTAGGAAACTTATCCAAGAACTTAGGCTCGATCACAAGCCAAAAGTCCTGCTCTTTGTTCTTCTCTCCATAGTGTCGAAGCCTCTCACACAATTGCTCCTGGAAATGCTCCTCCTCATCGAGCATAAACTTCGCATTCGCAACCACGAAATAGTACCTGCTCGGCTTTTCCTGCATTCAGAAACAAATAAAATGGAAAATTTACAGTCTTGCATGAGAAAATGAGAAACAAAAAATGAAAAGAATTTACGGGTTGGAGAGAGAATTGAACCTTATCGGCGGAATCGGAGGAGCTGAGCTGGTCGGAGTCGACGGCGGCGACAGATGTACGGACGGAGGAGGAGGATTTGACGGTGGTTTTGGGAGGGAAGGAGAAGAAGTGGTTGCAGCTGGAATTGGCTGAGAGAGGAAGAGATAAAGATTTGGGCTTTGGATTTCGGATGTGGGTTTGTGAGATGGCCGTGGTTGGTTTCGATTTCACGGCGGCGGCGGCCCAGCATGCCTGACCGAGAGTTGCCACGGCTGACATTGCTCCTTCTGGTTCCCCTTCTTCTTCCCCTGCGTGTCTTCCTTCGATATAATAAGCAAAGCCAGCCTTATCTAGTGTTATCTACAATTACATATTATATATGTTTCTATGTTCAAGAAAATTAGACAGGGGGGGAATCCATTTATATGGTATGGAGACATTGTTATTTTAGTATTTCATGCTAATAATACGTCATGTGAACAAAAAATTTATATATATTCGTTGTATTATTGACACAAGACGACACAATTTTAAATAGTTTTTCTCATGACACATGAACAAATTTCTTTACAGAAAACAAATTGAAGCAATATGATATAAATTTTGTTGCAAGGTGTTGTTTATCTTCAAATGGTATGTTTTCACTTTTAAAATGCCATTCAAAAAGTTCACATGTAATTTTTAGGAAATTGTAACGTCTGAAATATCGCACACACTCTTTTTGAAATGTTACATTGCTTTAATTTTATTTTTAATTGGGATTTTGTAACAATGCCTACAGTTCCAATACCCCTAAAGTTGAAGAGAAATTTGTGAAAAAAAATAACCATATTAGGGGTGGCCTTATGTCCTTTTAATAACACTAAAAAAATTATTTTTGTACCACATTTGCACGCTACATGATATAATGAATGATTTGTACATACTATATCGATTATTGTCGCATTCAAACTAATTGCTCTCATTCCTAAGTTGGAAAATCTAGAGTTTGTTTCTTAGTTTAGACCTATTAATCAGTGTAATGTAGCTTAAAAAATCTTACTTGCATTACAACCAAGGGGCTTTTGCTCCCGAAAGATCGATTGCATATAAGATTTTAATAGCTCAATAAGTTTTCAGTCCTCAATTTATTTTCAACTAACACTTCTCCTCGGGGAAAAAAAAAACTAATACTTCTCCAAGAGTTCACAAATTCAAAATCGTAATACTATTGATGTAACATCCCACATCGTCCAGGGGAGTGGATCATGTGAGCCTTATATGTATATTCTCATCTCTACCTAGCACGAGGCATTTTGGGAGCTCACTGGCTTCGGGTTTCGTAGGAACTCCGAAGTTAAGCGAGTTTGTGCGAGAGCAATCCCAAGTTGGGAAACCCATTGGGAAGTTCTCGTGTGAGTTCCCAGAAACAAAACCGTGAGGACGTGATTGGAGCACAAATCGGATAATATCGTATTACGGTAAAGTCGAGCTCGGGGCGGGGATGTGACAAAAAAACAAAGTCCCTCGCATACGTAGAGCATGTGTAGAGAGGCTAGTTTAGGTCAAGTCGGAGGAATCCTTTTCAAGTGAAAATTTAGGTGACAATTAAAAAAAAAAAGGCTTGAGATGGAAAGTGACGGAATTAGATCCTATCCGGATCTCCTCACTGTGGATATGGGGAATCGATTAATATCAACCGTTGATCAAATATCGTGCAGCCATAATTGAATGCTTTTTATATTTTCAAAATAAAACAGCCTCGTTTTGCGTAAAAAATATTTAAAAAGAAAAAAACTGCGGTCACATGATTTTTGATGAACGATTGTTATTAAATGATCCCCGGGATCCTTAGTGAGGGGATGTGGAGAGGATCTAATTCCGAAAGTGACCGAAGTGAATTCCCAGTTGGTTCAAGCCCATTGGGCCTGAGTTCTGTAATTCAAGCCCATTTATAATAAAAAATTAAACACGGGCGGAAAGCATCAGCTCAAGTAAGTCAAAAGCGTAAAATGCCGTTGTCGACGGTGGCTTCCACTGTTAGATCTTTCATTACACGATCGTCCTTCGTCGCCAGAGCCGCCTTCCTTCCTCCTTCCTCCTTCTCCACCTCCGCCAAGAAACCACCAATTCCGACCCTTTCTTCTTCCTTTACCTCCGTCTCCGGCTCCTTTCATTATACTTTGTTTATAAAACCCAAACAGATGGCTTCGCAGATGTCTTCGGAGAGCTTCAAGTTCGGGCCGTACAAGATCGACGGGAGGGGAGTGTTCTACTCCACCAATCTATCCTTCGCCATGGTTAACCTGCGCCCTCTTGTTCCTGGTACTTTTCTCTCACTCTTAACGCTGAATAATCAAGCATGAAAATTGAATGTAAAAGTTGCAAATTTGATGACCCAATTCTCCTTTTTCTTTGCAGGTCATATCCTTTCATTTGCTTTAAAAGTAAATTTTGTTTTGGGATCGGGCAATAAATGCGTTGTTGCTTTGTTCTATAAGAAAGAAAAAGAAGTCCGGAAATTTCCTGTTTTTTTCTTTAGTTGTGATAGCGTTAGTGGTTTTAATAATTAGTTGTTAGGGGGAAGAGAATCGGTAGAGATTGAATCAGTACCAGGTGCATAGGCATGGTTGCCTTTTGCAACTATGGTAAAGAGCCATCTGCAGGAAATTTCCTTGTTTTAGTGCCCTTTTTCTTGATTGGAGAATTAAGGCAGCATGTTAGTTTTGTTATGAGTTTTGTTACTGATTGATTGGATCATACTGGTGAGTAGTGAGTACGGATGTCAAAGGAAAGGGTGCTGGTTTTTCGTTCTGGATCCGAAAAGGAAGAGTCTTTTATCCGGCTTGATTTTTGGTCCGAAACGGTTTTCTGTGGCACCAAAATGTAAGCAGCAGATGGTAGATTCAGCTGGTTGGAATGCTTGAGTCTTAAGAGCATGCTACAAAGTGCATCCCTTTTTATTATTAGATATTGACTGGTTTCTTTTGGACCACGGGTCTGTATATAGTTTATCATTGACCAATATGTCCTAACTGCCTTTCTCGTCTGCATATGTTGAAATACAATGGCCAAGCATCATGTGTATTTAACCCCCGGCTATCCAGATTGATCCTCTTTTCCATGTTGTTATGTGTGCAAACTATACCCATTTTATTGTGGCACTATAGTATGCCCAATTCAATCATGCTTGACTTAACATCATGTACATGTACTTGTCTGCCCAAGGCGTGAAGTGAAGCGCTTTGGTGATCTCACTGCTGATGAGACCAGTGACCTTTGGATCACAGCGCAAAAGGTTGGTAGTCGGCTGGAGAGTTACCACAAAGCATCATCTCTCACACTTGCTATTCAAGTAAGAATTTCAGACCTTTAACTTCTTTTTTGTTAGTGAACAATATTTGTGTTTGGCCTGGTTTTCAGTCTGTTATTTTGCCCTTGAGATCTGTTACTGATATTACTTTTAACCTTTTAACCAAGTGTAATGCCATATATTCATAAGCCGTTCCTGTTTATCGCCACATAAAGCATACAACTTAGATCATTTTTACTTGTTACTGTTCTAATCTAAGAGTGTATGTATATTCTAGATATTTATTTCTTCATGTATATTCTTATTTTGGTCGTACTTTAAAACTTCCTCCAAGCTGTTAGGTTTCTTTTCACCTCCATATCACCTACCAATTATGCTTTGAACTTGTTATTTGAGGTTGAGCGGGTTACCTACTTTTTGTGTGGTATTCCATGGCAACAGTTTTGCGTTATGATGTTTGATGGGAGACAGTCCATTCTTAAGTTCATATCTTAGGATCTGAAATTTTTGTTGCTGCACATAGTAATGGTTTTATGTCCCCCCAAGCCAACTTTGTCCTCATTGTTCGTAGGATGGACCCCAAGCCGGACAGAGCGTACCCCATGTTCATATCCATATCCTCCCACGGAAAGTTGGTGACTTTGAGAAGAACGATGAGATTTATGATGCAGTAAGATTGGAACGTCTATTTCAGGTTTTATTAACACTTACTAATTCGCATGTTTTAGCTCGAGTATTTACTTTTTCTGTGTTCAATGCTATAGCTAGAAGAAAAGGAGAAGGAATTAAAGCGAAAGCTAGATTTAGACCAGGAAAGGAAGGACAGAAGCCTCGAGGAAATGACACAAGAAGCTGAAGAGTACAAACAGTTGTTTTAGAAGGTAGAATCTGCATTGCAGATGTTCGATATGCACAGCACAATATGTAAATTTTTTCTCACGGGATGTTTCCAGTGTATTCGGATGCTTTACTATGATTGTAGCTGGTTTATTAGGGTCGGAGCTTGTTGTGATAACGTCAGTCGGATCCCCATTTATAGGAAAACTAATGAAAAGGGCTTGAAAACTTTGAGTTTTAATGATAAGGACAAAACATCAATCATTCCGAACAGATTCAACCATAATTTTTCTAAATCTCGAAAGCAGTCACATTCACGACTGAAGCGTCGAACAAAAGACCATTATACAGTATGCTTAATTTATGGAGGAAAAAAAAATCAATTTACGTTGTAACGGCAAAGGAATTTAACAATTAGAATGACATGTGGATAGATAGGTTCGGTTCTGTTTCTCCAATGGCATGTCACTTATCGGTCCAAAAGACAAGTTTTGTGACAACGGTTTTAACAACCAAATATAAGGAACTCACAGACTCGTGCGTAGCCACATTGTCAAGAACAGATGCACCCCTCCATCAATTCGAGTTCAGATATCTCTTTTCGCACGTTACATTAGTTTAAAGTAGAATATTGCGTGCATGCGCCTCGGGCTGCAATGGTTAGTTTCTTTGGGCCTTTGGGGCGCCGAAGTTTTCTTCCTCAAAGAAATGGCGGGAAAAGTTGTGCATTTCTACCGGTTGCCTTAATTAATTTCTGACGCTATATGTCATCTGCTTATGTAAAAGTACGTCTAAAACCTCACAAAACTCTAAAACAAAAAAGCAGCTCAGAACTCAAAAGTGCTTTTCTTTCCTCCAAAAAATCCTTGCCAACTGATCGTCTCCACAGAAATGCAGTCCATACTCGAGGTGAAGGATCTTCTCGTCTTCTGCTTCTTGTTTTCTTCAGTCTAAACTTTTTTGGGTGTAGAAATATTTTGGGGTTTCGTCGTTTCGGCCTGTACCAGAAGGAAGTGATTGAGAAAATCATAAGGGAAACGACTCGTTGATTGTGATGGCCACCGGAAGCGGCAAGTCGTTGTGGGAAAAGCTTCTTCCTTTCCTTTCTCTGTTGTTTGACTAGGGTTTTACAAGTGCTTGATTTACTGGGTTGTTTCTTTCCTCCAAAAAATCCTTGCCAACTGATCGTCTCCACAGAAAATGCAGTCCATTCTGAAGGTGAAGAACCTTATCTTCTTCTGCTTCTTGGTTTCTTTTCTTCGGTTTTCAGTCTAATATTTTTTTTTTTTTTGGGTGTAGGAATATTTTGGGTTTTCTTCGTTTCGGCCGTACCAGAAGGAAATGGTTGAGAAAATCATAGAGGGAAACGACTCGTTGATTGTGATGGCCACCGGAAGCGGCAAGTCGTTGTGGTAAAAGCTTCTTCCTTTCCTTTCTCTGTTGTTTGAGTAGGGTTTTACAAGTGTTTGATTTACTGTGTTGTTTCTGTTGACAGCTATCAGGTGCCTCCGTTGGTTATCCGAAAGACCGGTGTCGTTGTGAGCCCTCTTATATCCCTAATGCAAGATCAGGTGAACCAAAGATTTTTTCTTTTTGTTGGGGTTTTCTTTTTTGTTGAATAATAAACCATTATTCAACAAAAAAGAAAACCCTGCGTAAAGCGGGAGCCTTGTGCACTGGTACGACCTTTTTTTTTTAATGGTTTATAATCATGTTATTTGGTTCAGTTTGTGTCGAAGATTAGTAATCAGTAATTGCATGTTGTCGGAAATGTTTTGAATTTTTTGATGTTTTATTTAAAGGTAATGTCTTTGAAGCAACGAGGAATCAGAGCCGAGTTTATGGGAAGTAGTCAAACTGATTCCACTGTCCAGAGCAGAGCTGAAAGTGGTCAGTTTGATATCTTGTACATGACCCCGGAAAAGGCATGTTCGGTTCCTGCTAGGTACATTACTACTTTTATTTGCCATTTGTCAGTTTCAAGTTTTCCGTTCTATTGTGCACTCGTACTTGTGTGCTATATTACAATTACAAATATGAACTGGGAGTTTGGACTAGCAAACTTGGACTACTACTGTCATGGATGTGTATGATGATTTTGATGAGAACTTTATAGCCTGTCCAGTATCAAGATTTTTTTGGTCTATGGGAGTATTTTAGTGGATATTACGATGTCAATATTATATTCTAGTTTATTTATTTTTCTTGCAGAAATCGGTATCCTGACTCTTACGTTTTCTTGCAGTTTCTGGTCCAATTTGCTAAGTGTTGGACTCTGTTTGTTTGCTGTTGATGAAGCACATTGCATATCGCAGTGGGGCTATGATTTCAGGTCACTGCTATTTCGTGGTTCTTCCTAAAATAAATCCTAATGGCTTGATTTTCATAATCTTAGTTTATGAATTGTTGGGACTTTGGCCTGTGAAATTTGTTTTGGCATCATTCTCTCCAACTTTTCTTGCTAGAACAGGATCGAGTTCCACATAGTTTCTCAAGTTTATGTTTCTTGTTACTGATCCTACTTACTTCAGTTTTAAAATAAAGTTGGCTAGGTTTTTTTTTTATTTTTTTTATTTTGAGAAGAAAGAAGCGCCCACCGAGCACTAGGGCTAGTCTTTGGGTGGTGGCACTAGGGTAGTTTCTTGTTTCAAAAGGGTATTTTCAGTCGTCTCATAGAGCTTCATGTGTTGATTTTGTTCCTTGTATGTATATTTCTCACTTTGCTTTTTGCCTATAATTATCTTAATGTTACTTGTAATCACCAATCATCATCATCTGAGCATTTCTCACTGTGGACTCTACAGGGTGGTATACAAGAAGTTAGACAAGTTACGTGCCATTCTTGTTGGTGTTCCATTTATTGCCTTAACTGCAACTGCTACGGAAAAGTATGTCTCTATCTCTCTATATCTCTCTGGGATTTTGATGTTCTTATCAGCTGTTGCTTTTCTATTAGGGTATTGCTTCCTTTTGCTTAACATCATCAGAATTCAACTAATAAAATTTACAACATTCTCTTTCTGTAGGGAGCTTGTACTATCTGCTTTCAGTCTTTATATTGCAACAGAAATCTCTTTGTTCGTTGGACTACTTGTTTCTCTAATTCTGCTCACCCTCGGAACTTCATAACTTAAGAACAACTATAGCAACTAGGAAGTGAGCTATTGTCATCTATTAGTTTTGACATTTGCTAGAGCCTAGAAAACAGTGGCACAAAACTATTCATTACTTGACCCATGCTCTTACGATCTTTTGTAACTTAACATATATGACTATATTTCACTTTCGAATAGGTGGTTTTTTATTTTCATTTTTCTGTTCAATATTTATCTATACTAATATTCATATTCCAGGGTTCGAATGGACATTGTTAATTCCTTGAAGATGCAAAACCCATATGTTGCCATAGGCTCATTTGACCGGACAAATCTGTTCTATGTTGTCAAGTCATTCAAACATGGTCAGTCATTTATTCAGGAGCTCGTCCAAGAAGTTTCAAAATTTGTGCGCTCAGATGGTTCAACTATCATTTACTGCACGGCAATTAAAGATGTTGAGCAGGTAAGCTCTTCAAATGCATTCTGTTATTCTTAACATATGTATTTTTTTTATGCATGTATGGTATCTGTGTAACTTATCGTTCACATTATATCATGTGTATGATATCTTGTTTTATTCATGAATGTACTTTTTTGCAGAACTTGGCTTACATTCTTTTAATGTTTTTCATTACCTTCACTAGGTATTTGGGTCACTTGAGGAGGCAGGTATTAAGGCAGGAATATATCATGGTCAAATGGACAATAGTGCTCGTGCGGAGTCCCATAGATTCTCACCCTATTCCATGTGTATTTAAACTTAAAGTAGCACTTATAGTTGCTCCTTGTGCTATCAGTGTAATTTTTTAGTACAGCACCCGTCCATTTCTTAACGTTACATTGATCTGATTTGACATGATGCTTATTACTCTTTTTATCAGATTGTTTATAAGAGATGAACTAAATGTCATGGTTGCTACAATTGCTTTTGGAATGGGTATCGATAAGCCAAACATAAGGCAAGTGATACATTATGGTTGCCCAAAGAGTTTGGAGCGTTATTACCAGGAAAGTGGACGATGCGGTAGAGATGGTATTGCATCTGTCTGCTGGCTTTATTACACTAGAAGTGACTTTGCAAAAGCTAAGTTTTACATTAGAGAGCTACATTCTGTAAGTGCTTATTTTGTTTCTGTTGTAGGATGTGGCTAAATATTTATGGATGCTGTTCTGTAACTTCTTATTTGTTTCTATTTCTGCCTCATGAGTTTTTGTGGGCTTCTAATCACCAGGAAAGTCAACGTAAAGCTGTTGTAGAGTCATTGATGGCAGCAAAACAGTATTGCTTATTGACAACTTGCAGAAGGAAGTTCTTGCTTGGTCACTTTGGGGAAAAGTTTCCAGCTGATAAATGCGGTATGGATCTGCTTTCTTCATTGGAATTCCTGAGTTCAGTCTCCCTAAATTTTAGTGTTGAAGTTTTAAACTGCATCCGTGTGCTATAGGTCAATCATCTGCCTAATTTGCTCATTGCTAGCTTTTGATGCTAGGATTTAAATTTGGGCCCTTGTCGTTTCAATAAAATAGTAGAACGTGCTGGTGGTGAACTTGACAGAGATGATATAATTACATGTTAACATCCAAGGGACTGCTTAGATTCGATTGTATAGTTTGAAAGTTTTTATGATAGTTGAAGTTGTTTCGTAAAATGTTTTTAGATTATAATATTAGATTGAAATATAATTGTTTTACAGCTTTAGCATCACCTGCATCAATATTCCATGGCAGATAATCTTACAACTTAAACTGAACCAATAATTATGCCGTGGCTTAAATGTGCTTGTAGGTAATTGTGATAACTGAATTTCCACAAAGAGGGAGCGGGACATGTCTAGAGAAGCATTTCTTCTAATGGCCTGTATTCAATCATGTAGGGGTAAATGGGATCTCAATATTCCTGTAGACATTCTTCGTGGCTCTCGAGTAAGTTGTAATGCATTTTTGAAACTCAATATACCATGTTTATCATTGATGTTGCATAAGTAATACTGCGAGAATCTAAAATGTGAATGTTTGGAATTCAATGATCCGGGGATCCAACGAGTTGAACTTTATGGACAAAAGTTGTTTTTCCCTGTATTCATTTGGCATTGTTCAAGCCTTCAAGGGGAAAATCTTTATTTTTAGCCTTGTATTTTAGCTGAAGAGATGTCTTTGTTTGCAGTCTTCAAAGAAATATATGTCTTGCTAAAATTGTAGGAATAAAATTCAAATTAACTTAATGAAATAAACACGTGAGTGATAGAAACTGAAAGTTGTAACTCAAAAAATATTTGATAGGAATGTTTTACGGTTAGCTTCTGTTAAACTTTGAAAGTGCCTCGCCCTAAGTTCTTTAAAATGTCATTTTTCAGTTGCTGTTGTTTTTTTCAACTTTTATGTCATTGTGTTACTCATGGTGATCTTTCCTTGTGGCATACAGGCTAAAAAATTTATCGATGCCCAATATGACAAGCTTCCACTGCATGGTCTTGGGAAGGACTATTCATCAAATTGGTGGAAAGCACTTGGTTACCAATTAATCTCTTCTGGTATATAAGGGATACTTTCTTTTAAGTTGTAGTAATTAATGCACAAGAAGATTTTTACTAATTTTTAATATTCTATCAGCTGATCTCCTTGCTCCGAGTATTATTTTTGGCATTTTAGTACCGGATGCATATGAACGCTTAATTGGTCAGTTTATGAGTTAAAATGCTCTTTTTAATACAGGTTATTTGATGGAGACAGTAAATGACACATACAGAACTGTGAGGTATACTATTTTCATTTATTCTATTTTTGCAGAAGGTAAAACTTTATAATAAATCTCTTCGAGGTCCATTTATTTTTTAATGATACTAAATGCCACCCGAAATGACCTTCTCTGTCGTTACTTATAGATACTTTTTCTTTTTCTTGAATTTCAATTTCAAAACTCGAAATGGAAATGATTGAATTTGAGTGTTTTTTTTTTTTTTTTTTTTTTTTTTGTGCATCAGTCTTAGTCCAAAAGCGTACCAATTTCTTAGTTCTGCTGGACCGGATCATCAACCACCCCTATTCTTGCCAGTGACCAGTGAAATGGTCGATGATGAGGACAATAAGCAGGCATCAGGCGAAGTTGGAGAAATTAAGAGTTCGGATACTCTGGAATGTGAAGGATTCTCAGAGGTTGGCAATTTAAGCATTATTGTGTTTGTTCACCTCAGTTACTCAATGTTTTATCCATATGTTATCAATATTTACAGTATAACCGAGTGATTCAGAAAAAGCTGGTTTTCAAGGTTTTATTTATTAGTTTTTCATTCCCTTCAGCATTCCTTAATAAGTTGCCTGCGAAACTTAAATGACTAAACCACTTAGACATCGTTTGAGTTGAGAAATCTACATAAAGTTTGCAGCAGTGTATCTTGGGTTATTGATGAAAGTTGGTTCACTGTTTTTCTTTTGCGTCTTTATTTTTCATCTCTCCGTTATAGTATTACCTTTTTTATGCATTTTCATTTTCTCTCAGGCGGAGAAACAACTCTACTGCATGCTTTTAGAAGAGAGAAGGAAGCTCGCAAGAAGCCTCCGTAGGATCTCTTTTTAATTATACAGTCAAGACACCGATGCCAAATACTTTATCCAATAATATCTAAAGAGAAATTTTCTTTTAATTTTTTCCCCAGAAACGTTGATTTTCATCCAAATTTTACTCTTTTCAGATATGTTATTTGTGGTGATCAAACAATCAAAATAATCGCTTTAGCAAGACCATCTACCAAAGCAAGGCTAGCAAACATTGATGGTGTCAGCCAGGTATGTCTTGCAGAGAGCAATGGCAAAGCTAGCTTTCTGTATATAATATATATATATGTATGTATGTATGTATATATATATGTATATATATGTATGTATATATGTCTCCTTTCTCCTGTGTGATAACTAGGATCTTAACTACAATTGGCAAACCAGCTAAACCCTCGTAGTTTGCTAGTAGCTAAAAATTTTCTTCTCAAACTCTTTAGTTCTGAACGACAAGGATTTTATACATTGCATTGATGTGAAACAGGTTCTGACGCTGATACATCTTTTGAGTTTTTCCGACTGAATATAATCTGTTTGTAGTAATCATGTCCTTCGGTTGGCAAAGGAGCTTGAATATGTACTGATCAATACGTGGTTCACGATTTTCAAGCACACTTTTTACTTAGTGATGGCTTCCAGTGCTATCCAGAATATTTGCCGGACATAGGCACAAGTAACTGGTCAGAAATTCGTTGCAGGATTGAACATGACAGTACCTTACCACACGCTATAATTCACAACAATAGGAGAATGTTTTCCGTACAAGTTAAATTTTATAATGACATCTTTATTTATGTTGTAGCACCTTGTAGTGACACATGGCAACAATTTTCTTCAGATCATCCGGAATCTATCACGAAGACTAAATCTTCCACTGGATGGAGAGGCAACCGTACAAACTACTGCTATTACGAGAAAAGTCTATCCAGTACCCAACCTACCAAAAAAGTTAATGCCAGCAAGGTTTGAAGCTTGGAAATTGTGGCATTTAGAGGGGATGTCGATGCAGAAAGTTGCCGTATGTTTTCAGATATTCAGTATTTACTATGGACCATTATCTTTTTCTTATGCTTCAATTCTTACATTGCATCGATCTTTTTTAATCACAGAACTTCCCTAGTAGATCAGCTCCTATTAAAGAGCAGACTGTTCTTGGTTATCTGGTACAAGCAGCTCAAGAAGGATGTGAAATTGATTGGATCAGGCTCTGCAACGAGGTCAGACTAACACATAAAGTTCTCTTGGATATTCAGTGTGCCATTTCAAAGGTTGGCTCTATGGAAAGGCTAAAGCCTATCAAAGACGAATTGCCAGAAGACGTGAGCTTCAAAACGTTTGCCTTGTTTTGGCAGTTCATGTTTAATTATGCTATTAATGCGTCTGTCTAATTAAGTGTGTATATCCGCATTTATATGTGCTTAATACTCGTATAGACGGGCCGTTTACGTGCAATTATCGTTTATCTGATTGAACATATTTTAAAATGCCAGATAAGTTATGCACACATCAATATTTGCCTAGCAATGCAAAAGCTTGGAGTGTCTCTGGAAGCTGGTCAACTTCCGAATAAGGAAACACAATCGTCACCGTGTTCTGCTCGTGCAACCCCCATGGAAGAACCTCTTGAAGATAAAAATGAAGAAACCGCTTCTCTTCCCTTGACCAGGAGACAAAGAGGAAAGCAACCCAAAGAACATTTAGAGGATTTACTTACTCCCAACGATTGGCTTAAGAACCAAGACGGGGTAAGTAGTGTAGTGAAATGGAAAGTGAAATGGAAAGCTTTATCATCCTCACCTTTCGACCCTGCAAGCTAAAACTAACAAATTCAAAAAACTCGGATGTTTGCAGGCCTCTCTCTATCAGATTTTGGAGCACTTCAGCGGATCTGAAGAACAATCTGTGATTGATATACTTAGCTCCCTTGAAGTTGACTTTCTAATATGTAAAAAGAACAATATCTATATGGTTATCTAATTGTAAAAGGACGGGTTGTCAAGTTGCTGAAGAGACTTCGTATGTTAAACTGTTCGTACGGCATTTGTGAAGCCCTAAAATTTTAGGACAGATTAACAACTAACCCGAACAATCAAGAGACAGTAAGGTAACGTTTGAATAGATTGGTTTCAGTTGCCTATGATGAGCGATTCTGATTCTACTTTCGAACTGAAATGCCTTCCGCCTAGGGTTCTGATTTTTCGACGTTATGTAACCACACCTTCAAAACTCATCCGATACAAGTGATCCGACCTCTATTAGAGACATGGTACATAAGGCGGTGTCCATAGCATTTTCCCTAGGTTAAAAGCAGAAGCTCTGCATGAAATTAGGTATTTGTGACAAATATTTTGAAAGGTAGGTCAGAAGCAACATGTTAAAATCAAAAATTTCTTGGCCCCCTACCTACATAAAACCAGGAGGGGCCAGATTGTAACAAAACAGAAGAGTCTGAGTTAACCTCCTGCATTTTCCCCACCCCGGCCAAAAGTATAAAATTGAAGGTGTTAATCTCTATGTAAAGCGTCGTCGAGCTCTATTTCCAGGCCTACACGATTCTTAATCGAGGCACTGGCGTGTAGAGGTATGCCGCATTTTCTCTGGATCTCCTTGAACTTTTCGACATCAAAATTATGACGCTCGATCAGTTTCCTCTGCCTCCTGAGAAAGAGCCTCTTCATCAGATCTTGGTAAGTTGGATCTCTTGACGTGATCAAGAAGTAGGCATAGCCTATGCCAATGCAAGCTGTTGTTGTGAAGTAGGCGAGTGGTTCCACTACGTCCCATGAGAAGTCCCAATATGTTAGCCTGAAAAAGAGCCCGAGCTGTGTCAGGAGCACCCCCAGACCAGCCCAGAGAATGCGCCGGACCTGCTTATGTGCCAACACATCGATTTCTTCCTTCTTCTCTTGCAGCTTTTTTAACTCCGCCCACAAGGGGTCATCTTCCGGAGTCAAAGCAAGGGGTACTGCTTTTCGAACTAGCTCCACAACCTGGAAGTTACGAATGAGATGCAGCGGTATGAGTCAATGTAATGTAAGGCCTCTAAACAGATAAATTGTGTTCGAGAAAGCTCTCGTAACCAGCTCAGATTCTTAATTCATATCCAATGCAGGAAGCACATATCATAACAGTAATAAGAACTGGCAATACCAGTAATGTTCCAAAATCCAAATAGGACAGATCCTATATTTGGTCAATTTCGAATCTCTGCTTTAGACTTGAAAGATGAGATGTCTACACAATGCATACAACTACCAAGTATTAACATAAAAACTCAAACAATCCCATTCGCAATCACGAAGGAAAGACAACAGAAGCTAAAAGCAACTAGATTCAGCCCCAAAAGAACTATCGAAATCCTATGCCCTGTTTGGATCAGTAGTTTTGGAAGAACTACAAACCTTCATCGCCATGTAAAAGGTAAATACGTAAAAACTCAGCAAGGAGCCAAAAAGACAGGTTTATGGGATCTAACCAAATTCTGAAGAACAAGGAAATACACAAAGAAACCTCCATGTAGTTACCTAATAGATGGTAAGTAATTACCACAGATGGTAAGTAACCACTGAAACTTGCCAAAGTTTCTATCTCTGAAAATAATTTCAACTTAATTTCCTATCCCTTCAATTTGGAAGCCCGGAAAATATGTGATCCCCAACTATGTACTTAATAATTCCGTGAAGTCAAGGGAATAGCAATAACAAATGGAGAGAGGGGCCATCCAGATAGGGCCACAAAAAGGAAAAGGAGATAAACATTTCCCAAAAACAAACCCCATTGGCCATCTGTGTAAAGTAGAGTAGTTTAGAATATTCAAAACACGAAAGCGAAATTACATTCTGATATAAGTTCAAAGGAACAATAAGGAGTTAAGGGGAGGAGGTTTCATACCCTATTAGGATGCAGGAGGACCTTGTCCCGGAACAAAAGGATGACGCCGGCCTCGTCGAGAACCCGAGCAAAAGCAGCAGCCTCTTCCGGCGATCTGGCAACCCCAATGCTCTGGCACGCCTCCAGAAGATGAGAATACGGTATTGCCTCTTTCTCCTCTGTCCCAAGCTGGGCCTTTAAAGCCTCCACATTCACCAGCCTCATCAGCCTCTTGGCCTCCGCAAACGATATCGTCTCTCCTCCTATGCTCAGCTCTGCTGCTCCTCCCACTCCGCCGCTGAAATCACCAGAAGACGACATTCTCCTCTTCGGAATCAGGGCCAAAGACGAAGTTGCAGGAAAATTCAACAACCCGCATTCTTGTTTAGCAAAACCCTTGAATCCAAAACATGGGTTGGGGCCGTTGGGCTTCCCCAACCCCATTTGTCTCACCAACACACCACTGCTCTTACACCATCTCCACATTCTGCCCAAACCTTCAAACTTTCCCACTCACCTCAACTGTCTGTGACTTACAGCTCCCCCCGTCTCTTCACTCTCTCTCTATATATATAGTATAAGAACCCAATTTCCTATTGAAAACTTGCAAATTTACGCCTACCCACGAATCCTTTAGAGATTTGGAGAATTGGGTTTTGGGAAATGAGCGATTTGGAATCGAAAGGGGAAAGAAAGGAGCAATCTTTAAGCCATGGGAGGATCTCAGAAGAGAAAGAAAGAAAGTTGAATAAATAACAGGAGGCGGTAAAAACACTGCAGTTTTACAAGGCAAGGAAGCAAAAACGGCCCGCCAACTACGTTGGTTCATATGTTTCTCCCAACACAAAAATAGGAGACAGAAAAAAACTCAAAAATTGGTCTCTTTCTACGTTGGTTCAATTGTTTTCTTTCTCCTTTGGTTCGTGTGGACATAAATATAGCAACGGGTCTCTCTCTCTCTCCTCTTGTCTCTTTCTATCTCTCTCTCTCTAGGATTCAACGTTCCTATTCCGACTAATAACCTCGTGGTCACCACCATCTCCCTCACACGGCCACCACTCTCCTCACACGCACAAGTCACACTGAAAAAGTTTGACTTTTGACTCAACCAAATCGATTTGGGAAATTTGGGAGTTAATTGAAGGAAAAGTTGGGAGCCTTATCTCATTGCCAAGAGGTTTCGTCCATTCTTCTGGATTTTGGGTTTTTGGAGGTGGGTGGGGATTTAATTTTAGAAGAACAACTTGTACGTTACATGTATTTCGTTACAGTAACGTCATGCTGATAAAATAAAAACATGCAAATAAAATTTTACGTATATTTTTATTTTTATTGGCACAGCTAGAGACCTCACGGATGAAAAGACATACAAGTCATTTTCATGCTTTTATTGCTTGCTTCTCTGATGCAGCGTTTGTAGGAAACTATCCTTTTCGTTTTCGAACCAGGATCCTGTCTTGAGCAATTCCCTAGGAATCCTAGGGATCCCGCAATCTTGTCCGTTCATTTTATATCATGCGGTCAGTTTTCGTTAGGTACTATTTATATTTGAATTTCAAAATTTAAATTTTAAATGATTTCTGACCGCACAATATACGATGAATTGAGAAGATTACGGGATCCCTAAGGAATTGCTCAGGAGAGGATCATGGTTCTTCGTTTTCGATGGTTTATTTTTATTGCTAACTTGTTTTTCCAAATTTGAAAAGGTCTTTATCCCAATATTCTTTTTTCCTAACCAAAAGAAAGAGAGAAAAGTAATACTGTATTACCGCAGGTGGCCTTAATTCTAAAATATGGGTTAAAAAATGTTGTAAAAAGGCTAGTTTTCAAAATTTTCGTACCATGTTTTCAAAATCGGCATATTTGTTGATTTGTCTGAAGAATTTGTATGGAATTGTTAATTTTTCTTGAATTTTGATTTTAGCCAATTACCCCTTAAACTTTTATAATTAGTCAATTTTCTTTTAACTTTAGTTTTAGTCGATTCCCCACTGAACTTTTATAAATAGCCAATTTTCTCTCAAGTGCTAGATTTTAAAAAATTTAAACCAATTTTTCATCAATCTTGATCAAAGGGACAATACATGACAACCGTATGAGGGCAAAAAGATAGAAAATTACATAGATGGAAAATTGGATAAAATTTTTTAAAATCTAACGCCATGAGAGAAATTGGCTATTTATAAAATTCAGAACGTAATTGGCTATAATTAAGGGTAGGGGGTCGAAAATTGACTACTTATAAAAGTTCAAGAGGGTAACTAGCTAAAATTAAAGTAACAGAGAGAAAATTGATAGCTCTATATAAGTTCCGAAAACAAATCGACAAATACCTCTTCAAAAATTTCCTACAGCTAAAGCCTAAGATCATCTCCAACCCTTGGGCTAAAAGCCAAAATTTTTAGTCTGGAAAATTTAGCTTTTAGCCCATAAACATCTTTTCTGCTCCAACCCTTTTGCCCTAAAATTTTAGCCGGAATTATTAAAGAATGAACTTAGGCTAATTTTTTTTTCTTAAATCAATTTAAAAAAAAATAAATAAATATGTAGATTATTGTAAATTAATTTTATGAACATTTTAATCTAAAAAAATTTAAATTCCGATAAACATTTCGCATTTAGCCCGGAGGGAAAGCTGGGGGGTATTTGGCCCAGAAATAGCATTTGGCATTTAGCCTAAAATTTTAACATGAGTTGGAGAGTGCTTGGGGGGTAATTTGGCTTTTAGCCCAGGGTTGGAGATGGTCTGAACGGGGACTCTTTCAGACCAAAAAAACAAAAGCTAAGACCATCTCCAACCCTTAGGCTAAAAACCAATTTTTTTAGCCCGGAAAATTTAGCTTTTAGCCCAGAAACATCTTTTCTGCTCCAACCCTTCTGCCCTAAAATTTTAGCCCGGAATTATTAAAAAATGAACTTAGGCTAATTTTTTTCTTAAATCAATTTTTTTTAAAATAAATAAATATGTAGATTATTGTAAATTAATTTTATGAACATTTTAATCTAAAAAAATTTAAATTCTGATAAACATTTCGCATTTAGCCCAGGGGGAAAGCTGGGGGGTATTTGGCCCAGAAATAGCATTTGGCATTTAGCCTAAAATTTTAACTTGGGTTGGAGAGTGTTTGGGGGGGGGTAATTTGAGGGGTAATTTGGCTTTTAGCCCAGGGTCGAAGATGGTCTAAGGGAATATATATTCCAATACAGTTAAAATATTTGAATTTTTCTGATTCATAATTTCCGAGCATTTATAACACACGATCCAAAAATCTGAATTTCACGTTATAATCTATAATTTAATATTTGAAAAAACTGTATTTTGATAAATTAAGAAAAGTTAATCTCACTCTCATCATTATTTCCCCATTTCCTAACTCATGCTCTTTTTATAAATTTCTTGATTAAAGCTACTAGCCACTTGCAAGCTGACTATCTTTGAATAGTCCATTTGCGTACACTATGAAAAATCTTATCTCCACAATTTTTATATTTTAAAAAATGCAAATATATGTATATATAAAAATTATTTGAGTGCAGTGGAGGTCTATTATTCGGACCACATTGTTTATAAAGGTAAGAATTTTGTAGGTTTTATATGTAGTAAGTACATTAGGCAATGGGAATCCGAATGCTCTTTGAACCTAGAGTAGGCTTGACAGTTTTTTGCACGACATGTTAACTCGATATGAAATAACACGAATGTAATAGGTTTCGAATTAAACCGTTAGCAAGTTGGATTGTTATTGGTCATCCGTTAATGAGTCGGATCATTATCGAGTCATTTGTTAAGAATCGATAAGATATCTTTTGTCAGACCTAGACATTAGACATGATAATGCATGACCTGTTAACCCCACATGAAATGACACAAATTCGATAACGAATCAGGTCGTTATCGGATCATCTGTTATGAACTCATTAAAATAACGAATATGACACGAACGATACAAACACGGCAAACACAACCCGTTTGTCAATCCTAACCTAGTGGACTTTGCTTTATGAATGAGTAAGAGGGTAGTTCTATAAAACGCATGCGTAATCCTAAATTAAACTAACATTTGACTAGGAAAACGAACGGAAAATGATTTCTGCACGCCCTATCTGTTTCTATCCATCGAGGTTTCTTTGTTTTATTTGATTTAAAGCCTGAAAAACAAACAAGGGTATTTATTGGAAGGAATGGTATGTGAAAATCATTTTCATAATCAACGGATAACAATTTTGGCACAACTCATTCGTACGAGTTGAAGTTGGAAGAGACATAAAAGACAGTGCTACTCCATTTCATCCCCAATCTCATCGGAAGTTCTGCAAGTAAAGGGCTTAGATATTGACTCGAACTCTTCACGAAAAATGGCGACGTATATGAGTTTTCGAGTTTAATCTCCAGTAGTAACAAAAAATATGACATAAAAGTTGATGAGAACCAAAAATTTATGTACCAACAAGTTATCCACATCTAGTGATTGTTCCATTCGCCTTTCACATTCAATCAAGAAACAAGGGAAGAAGACGTACAAGTAATGTGCATTTGGGTAGGTCGAATTCCCGACTTGCAAGATAGAAGGATCAATCACTGTGTTTGGCCTTTGAAACAGTTTTGATCAAACCTTTGGTTATCTTCCAAAACCAAATGAGATTCATCATAGACAACATTGGAGGCACCAGGAGCAAGCTGTAAAATCCTAAAGGGAAGATTGTCTTGACCTGAAACAATGCCGAGATAATAAGTACCGAACTTTTCATGGGTTAGAATCGTAAGTTGTCAGTAAGAAACATGAATGAATATGAAGAACGAACTCACTTGATCGAAATGGATATACATGTGGACGAAAAAGTAAACGAACAAAAGAATCCTTGCAACCTGAATGAATTGGTGGAAGTAAACTGTTAGACATAACAAATTATGTTACTTGACGGAAATGAAGTAGATAAAGTTAAACAGCAGTCCTACACCAGCGGCCATTGAAAGATGTAAGGCTCGTTATCGATGTACATATACACGTACACACACACACACACACAAGAACCAACATATTGAGTTAGTTAGACATTACCAGCCACCCGAGGAACAATGCTACGCCATTGAAGACGTACAGGTTAGAGTTCTTCTTACCAGCAACATCCAAATACCTGAGTATGCAATCAGATGAATCATCCAATGACAACAACCAAGAACAGGAGATTTAAGGGATTACTAAATGGAAAACTTACCATCTCATGTTTACGAAAGGAGTCGTGCTCTCAGAGAACAGAACCATTAGTATGTAAATCTGGCCTTTTCCACTTAAAAGGGAGAGAATGATTGAGTACATAGACAGTGCATGATGCAAAACCTAAAGAAAATAAAACAGATGAACATCATCGTACCAGTTTATACAGACTTTGACTTGCATATGCAAACTTGAAGGGTACGATAACCAAACTCCAGAAATTATCAAACCATGATACTGATTCAATTAATCCATTAAAATGCAACTTTCTTTTACCAAACTTCGCCAAGTTAATTTTAGAACCAAAATATATGGTTTAAGGTTTTAATAACTGATGTATATTGAACAGGCGATATCCTTCATCTATGTACTCACATACTCCAGTCCACCCAAAGCAGGAAAATGCCAACAGATCATTCCCAAGTCTGACAGAAAATATCCAATGGAGATCTGCAATAAGTACCCAATAAAATTAATTCCAATAATAAGCGTCTACACCCAGAAAATTGTAAATTACGGTAGAGGGATTTGAAAGTCACTTATTGATTGAGGAAACTGTCATCGTGCATAGAAATGAACATGAAACATGAAGAATAGGAGCTGCAGTTTTCGATACAAACTGATAACTAAATTCAAACCAATCTTCCATTATCAGGTTCATCGTTGGTCTAATTGTATTTAGGTTTAACTTGGGTCAAACAACCCGACAGATATAATTGACATAAGATGTTGATGTTCAGCTGCCTAACCCATGTGCAGCATGTAGGTATGCACTTGCGCATTTGCAAAAACATGCATATGCAGAGTGAAATGTAAAAAATTTCTGCATTAGTGAAACAATTTACAAGTTTTTTTGGGTTACCATTATAAGTTAATTTAGCTCAAAGTAATAAATACGGGTTAAAAAATGATGTGAAGGAAGCTTCACACAAGGAAGGTACGGGTAGATACAGAGTCGCACATGCAAAATTTAAGAGAAACTCTTCAGCTCATTGGTTCTGATCTACTACAACATATTTGACAGTCAATGAAACCAGCTGTATCAGAAGAGTAATTGACATGTTGCACCACAATCGAATCAATTCAAAATTCATAAGCGAAGAGACATAAAATTTTGCTTACCCCCAATGTTGTATCTGAAAAGGTAGATCTTCTACTAATGATTGGCTCATCACGATGATCCTCATGAAAAGTATCTGACAGCACTAAAAGGTAAAAAGATGCAAATGCTACGGCAATAGCATGAACAGTTGAGAACCCCCTGTAGAAAAAAGAATTAATGCTTGTCTTCTTGAAGAAAATCAAGAAACTCTTATAAAAAAATTTTTAAAAAAAATCAAGAAACTCAGTATGTGATGTGCAGAAGATATTCACCGGTTGTTCCATTCAACTTTTTCTGCTTTGGTGAGTTTGTCATATCCCTCGACGCTAAGAAGGCTAATAAGCCTCGTTAATCTGTAAACCTTCAAAATCAAAATTTCATCAAGTTCAAAACTACCAAAAAGAAAGAACTTAACTTTTCATAGTTCAGATAATTCTTTTGAGAAGTTCAGTTTTAGTGATTAAAACATTATATGAAAATGCCAAAATTCAGATGAAAGTGAAAATTTGACATGTAAAAAAAGGAGTAAACGATTACAACACAGAATAGACCAAATTAACTACAACTTAACAAAAAGAACCTAGTTTTGGAGCAACCAACAGAGAACAACCGCTATTAATGTATCCTCTCTTAGAGCACTCACATAATCACATTAAGACTTTCTACCCAAAAGACTCATCCAAAATCCCCGAAAAGCTCATTGAAGCGCTTTCTATATTCCAACAAAAGCCAAAATTAGGAACTTGTTCCGAAAACTACTAGTGCAAATGGATTTGAAGGGCGGTAATAGAAAAATTTAACCCCCAAATATTAGTTTACTTTTGACTACGGATGACATGTTTCAGCAACTCCCTCAACTATCAAGCAATGTGGTTTAAAGAAAACTTTCAGTCCCACAACAAACAGAAACTAAATTAGAGATTGAAACTTACAATATTGCAGAGAATGATGCCAAAGAAGACAGATGCCAGCAAGTGAAATTCTTTCTCAGGGGCAAGATAGCCAGAGATGGATACTAAACCAAAGGGAAAAGAAAATCCCACCATACTTCTTCCTTGTTGGATTAAACGCTCACACTGTTCAAAAAATATTCCAGATCAAACCCTGTTCCGCATACACAATAATGCAACCAGACTCCTTTTTCTTGATAACAAAGAAACCAATTTGACTCAAAAGCTTTCAAATTTCAAAAGATTGAACAAAAAGAAAATAACCCTTTTGAAAACAGCTTACATTAACTCCAATTCCAAGTTTATAAGCGCTTCTGAAATCAGAAGCAAATCAGAAGCAGATTTTCCAGATAAAGAAATCAAGAGTCAAGACCAGCAGTCAACCAAATACCACAAAAACAACAAAAATGCAAGCAGACTCCCGTTTCTTGATAGCAAAGAAACCAATTTGACAAAAAGCTGTCAACTTTCAAAAGATTAAACAAAAAGAGCAGAACCCTTTTGAAAACAACTTACGTTAACTCCAATTCCAAGTTAATAAGCGCTCCTTAGAACTCAGAAGCAGAAAAACCTTCTGCTTTTTCCAGATAGAAATCAAGTGGAAGGAGCAGCCAGTCAAACAAAGACCACAAAAAGAACAGTAAAAGCAGAAAATATATGTAAAAAACCATATAATATTCATTGAGGAAGGATTCAAGGGTACCGGAGATTAGCTGAAGAGTCTTGAGTGCGGGCGGGGAAGAGCGAAGAGATGAGAAAATGGATATTGGATTTGGAATTTTATGCAATGTTTTCTACTTTTGAGCGGTTTCGTGGCCTGGTGGGTTTTGATTCTCAGAGCAAAAAAAAAATAAACAAAATTAATTAATTAATTAATATAAATAAATAAAGCTAAAGAAAAGAATAAAGAGTTTGGAATCTGTAGGCTAACTTTTATGCCCTTTCGTTGTCCACGTCCAAGGGAGCGAGCGAGATGACGCGTTCTGACTTTTGAGTTTTTGACGCTGTTGTATCATAATGTGGGTTTACTCAGGGTCTAAAATAAGTAGACTTCACTCTCTTTTCTATATGTTTTCCTGATTTTTCTAATATTTTTAGAGAAATATTAACCGTATTGAAGAAAATTCAAACACTGAGTTTATTACATTTATATTGAAGAAAAAAAATAAAATCATTTTAGTTTATTACAAACTTGTTTGAAAGCCTTTAAAATGATTGGCTTGGAAGAAGCACATGTATGTGTTTTTTTTGCAGGAAGAACTTCAAGTGTTTTTTCAAGATCTACTTGGATTTTCATTAAGAATTGATTTCAAAAACATTTCCACCAAAAATGATTTGAGTCATTTTAAAAACACTTCCAAACGATCGTGTGAGATTACTGTTCTTTGCTTGCTCGTTTTTTTTTTTTTTTTTTTTTTTGAGTATATCGAAATTTTTACATTAAGAGGAGGAGGAGTTCGGCAAAGCCACATAATGAGCAGCTTAATTTAATATCGAATTCGTCATCCACGATATTTGAATCTAAGACTTCTAACTTCCAAGTGAAGATAAGAAATACCACCAAACCATAGTGCTGAATAACGTTGGTTATTAAGGGTTCTTTATTACATCAATATCTGAGCTAATTTTGATACCCTTCGTCACGTTGTCAACTTTTTTTGTGTACCTTATAATATATGTCTGCTATAGTACAATTTTCATCATGGTTCAATTTTGTATGGGATATTAGATGTACCGTCAAATTTGAGTACTGGTTTCGATGCCAATGTGCCGACCAACGTATTTCATTATGGAAGAGATCTTCTTCAGATCTACTTTGTGGGGATCTTAGGGATCTCCACAACCGTTCATCGTACATCATATTATCAGTTTTTGTCAGATATTATTTGCGTTTAATTTTAAATAAAAAAAAGTCAAATAATTTCTAACCGCAGTATACACGATAATGACTAATATATGGATATCCCTAAGATTCTCACAAAATAGATCTGAAATCAAATTCCTTTCATTTTGCTCTTTAGTTTGAGGTTTCCTTCAAAATTTCTAATACTTGGAAAAAAGTTGTCGGTGTGCTCATGTTTTAAATGCATGTTTCGGATTGTTTTTTGCGTTATTGAGTTGGTGCTTTGTGTTACTCAAGTAAGATGAGAATATGTTTGCGTTGCCAACTATGGACTGCAACGAACTCTACCCGACCCCTAAAATGGACTACCGTGACAAAACCATCAACTGATGAATCACACAATGATGGCTAAGAACAGGTTGAAATGTTGCAAAGCCACCAGTTAGTCCTTTTTCTTGTGAAAAAGAAATAAAAATTAGTACTATACTTACACGAATACGTGAACGTGTGTGATACAAAACGCACTACCATCTACCAGAGAGAGAGGATTTAAGCAAAAACAGAACGTACACTGCTTATTGTTAGGTACTTGACAGTCCCACAGGTTTGTAATTAGACAGTGATTGGAAGTACAGAACCAAACAACAACAACAACCGGAGATGCACAAACGAACACACAATACATACAAGCGCTCGGGCTTATTTCTGCTTGTCATTCCGGCATGTCAACTAAAACAGCGTCTCACGTCTTCGTCATCATCATTATCTAGTAACCACCTTGAATAAAAGCATTCAAGCGGTCTAGCTCCTCCCGGTGCTCACTCACCACAGCACGAACCACGTCACCGATGGACACCATTCCAATCATTCCCCCGTTGTCTATTACTGGAATGTGCCTGATTCGGTTATCTACACATAGTACACACAAATTTCCAATTTAAAAAAGCTTCCTTGCATCGAAGGAAAATATAACGAAATGAAGGAGCATTAAGTTAGAAATTTTTGTTACAAGAAGCAGAAGATAATACCCGTCATAAGTTGCATTGCCCGCAAAACTTTGGTGTCAGGGGTGACAGTGATAAGCTTGTTCTGCAGTCACCGCGTTTTAGCATTTTCAATCAGATGTTAAACATTCATGAAACTTCAACAATGTTAAGGGATGTAAATCCTAGTAAGATAGCACAGAGTTTCCTGTAAAAGGAGGATGAAACTTTTAACAAGTCATACCTCCTCAGTCATGATATCCCCAACCTTTGTTGACTTGGATGATCTTCCCTGAACTATGATCTTCCTGAGATAATCTGAAAATTATCCGCCAAACAGAAATACAATTAATTATGGAGAACCCAAAAGTACCTTCCGATCATTGTTACTATCACTCAACCGCCAAAATTCTAGTCACATTGAGGCCAACCAAAATAAAAATTGCTTTTTAGCAGTAATAGTTCTAAGCATATCACGTAATCAAAATTATAGACAGTGGTTATCCCTTCAAACTTTCCCAAATGTTTCCCAACTATTTGTGGTCACCAAATTACCATTCTGTTTTTAGCTTAGAAACAAGTGCATGTATGAGCTTATTCATTCTGCCCGTGCCCGGTTCTTTTCTTCAACCTTTTAACTTATGAATTTGATCCTACTTTCAAGAGTTAGGCTTGATATCAAAGTGATCTGTATCATTGTTTCCAAAAATAATTCTCGGAAAAACGATTATAGAACCTAAACAGGTCCCTAGGGCGCTGCTGAAGCATTTGAAATTGAAATGCATAAATTTCAGATTAGAATATCCGTAAGGTCATACAAGATGGAAATCCAGCTCCCAGTACAAAGACCATTCGCATCACGATATCAAACAAGCATGGCACGGTATATATCAGTAGATTACATAAGCCTACCTCTCTCTGTTATGATTCCTGCAAGAGACTTTTGCACTCCGGGTTTCACAACAACCAAGGCTCCAACATTGTGCTGGGTCATCTGCAAGGGAAAGATTAATTAGTTATGACTTAAATCCTTCATGCCAAATATTGTCAAATCACTGCAACAACACGAACTTCATAAAGCTCAAATATGCTTACCGATTTAACAGCATCATAAACAGAGTCATCGGTTGTGCACCAGAGCCAAGAACCATCAGCACCTTTACCTTTTCCTTTCAAGACATCTGCAATTCTGGTGCTTTCAAAACCATGCTCTTCGATGCGGGAACTGGCAGGCGTAGCAGACTCAAAGCGTGAAAATGCAACAGGCTGAAGCAGGGGATTCACAAGACGGATGTGTCTCAAAACTCCATTTTTCACAATGCTTCCGTGTGACGTAAAAGCTTTAAGTGCTCCTTGCATTTTACCTGTCTGAAGAGACAGGTTATATTCATATACAACATAATGTTAGTTTGCCTCAACGGATGAATGAATTACTCTATTTAACTAGCATCAGTCAGCATAGTATTTGGTTCGTTTGATTTTCATTGATTGGTTTTACTTCCTCAGCTTTGCATCCCTATACATCAAACACTTAGATCTCATACTGCAATGATACAACCAAAACTTCATGAACCAAAAGTTTAAGGAAAATTAAAATAAACTAAGGTAGTTTCTTGGAAGCCAAACACCCCAGAAATGTTATTGCGTCCAGCAACATATACCAAAATAAGCACCTTCCAAATCTACTAATCTATTAAGCACTTCAGAGTTTCAAGGGTGTAGCAGTCAATCTAAAGTCTAGAGTTTGATGAATCTGGTTAGAATAAAGCTGGACTTTTCAAAACAAATTTCTAAAAACTCCCATAAGCACTTAAAAGCAATCAAGAGTCCAAGACTTCTTTTTCAAAAGAAAAACTTGACCAAGTCAAATATTCAATTTCCAAATTAATAAATGAATAAATCCCATGATACAACTTTCCACTGAAAAATATCAGCTTGCAGTAGAAAGTTCCCAACATTTCATATACACATACACACACACACACACACACACACATACACCCACTACCCTTCCAACACTTCTCCGATGTGGGATTACACTAAACAAAGAAACACTTGATCGATCTGATAAATTCACTAACTTTCAAACCCAGAATTTAATTTCCTTCAAAAAGTAGAAAAAATGGAAAGATACTTGAAATGATTTGATCTATCACTACAAAGTTTCAAAATACAGAAATGATCAACCAATGATTTATTTCACCCATCGAAGTTACAGATAAGATTTGATAAGCTATGCAAAAGGATGGAGGAGAAGAAGAAGGTGGTGCCAGAGAGAGAAAATTACCGGAGAGGAGAGAGGAAAGAGAGAGGCAGCTGCAAATTTTCTTGGGCTTTCAGATAGAGATGGAGACCTAGGTTTTGACTTCTTATGCCACCTGAAGCTGCTCAGGCATTGAGTTCTCTAACGGCGTTTGTAATGGATAAAGTAAACCGTTAGGTCACGCTATTCACTTTCCCTCTGACACGCGTCCGAAAAGGCGCTAATCTGAAGTCATCTAACGGTTGTTCTTTTTTCCCGACTAAATTAGCGGTTACTGTATTCATTTTAGAATTGCTTTTTTTTTTTGTTGGACTTTTTAATTTCATTTTTTGGGATTTTTGTCACTTTCAACCAAAAAATAAAAAATAAAAATAAATAAATAAATATATATATAGCACCATTTCTCATATGATTTGAGAGTTCTTGTTCTCGCATGTAATCAGTATAACACGAGATTTAACGATTTTATTGAGTTGTGTATTATGATTTTTGATGAATTCAGTTTCTAACCTTGAAGTTTGCTCATAACTATGCGAGTGATCTCTTTAAATTTAATTTGTAAAGACCATTATGAGTTGAATTTTTTCATGAATATATATATATATATGGTGTATATTATTTTTTTCAATAAATAAAATATTTTACTTCTTAAAAAGCAAGAATATAACATCAATTGCCAACGAGGATTAGTTCAGTTGGTAAGGTCGATTGCCCAGTGTGTTTGCCCTTCTTCGGCCCCCTCCCAAAGGTTCAAGTTCATTGTTGCAGCCTTCCTTGGTGCACGATCTGTAAATATCTACGTAAATTCACATCGGTGGCGGCTGATAGATAGGTGTCATATGTAAGCTCTTCCAACTCAAGGTTGTGAATATGCATTGACGCTGGTGGTGAGAGTCACCAAATCTCCCTAAACTTTCATTTATAAAAATAAAAATAGAACATCAATTTTGAATTTGTTATAAATAGGCAAAAGTTAGAGAAATAACATTTGCTAGGGACATGAGTGAAGCGGGTGCAAAATATCACACTATAACTTTAGTAGTTATAACACAAAAGAATGGCATATAAAGAGAGGGAGGGAGGGAGAGATATTGATATTATTTATTTGATTCCTTCTTTCGCAGTGTGTGTTTGATAACACACAGAGTGCTCTATTTATAGAACAACTCATGTGACAACCAACCAAACAAAAATTATTACATTTTGAAAGTATCACACAACCACTATTCCCAAGTCTTCATTACTTTGTGTGGGCATTCATTCATCCACTAATTCTACAACACTCTCCCTTGGATGCCCACATATCAACATTAGTTGCCTTGTTGAAACCTTGCTCGGAAAAACTCAGTGGGAAAAAACCATAGCAAAAGAAAAAGAGTACAACTTTATTGGGATTGATATAGTGTTAAGTATGCTTATGTTGCCTTGTTAAAACCTTGATAGGAAAAATCCAGTGGGAAAAATCCTAGTCGAAGGAAAAAGAGTACAACATGCATGTATCATGGATGCTCCCCATGATACGTATCTCCCTCTAATTCCGCATTCTTCAAATTTAGTTGATTGGTAAGCCGACGTAATCCGATACTCTGCACTAGGTTCTGAAACGTGCACTTTGGTAGAGATTTGGTGAACAGGTCTGCTAGATTTTCATTGGAACAGATGTGTCTGAATTCAATAACTTTAGTCTTTTGAAGCTCATGTGCACTGAAAAACTTTGGAGATATGTGTTTAGTCTTATCGCTCTTGATGAATCTTTAATTCATTTGGGCAACACAGGCTCGATTATCTTCATGGATGACAGTTGGAATTTCTGTCTTTGAAGGTAGACCACATGAATTCCAGATATGATGGATCATTGATCTTAACCAAGAACATTCACGACTTGCTTCATGTAAAGCAAGTATTTCTGAGTGATTTAAAGATGTAGCAACTAATGTTTGCTTTGTTGAGCGCCATGAGATTGTTGTATTTCCATTAGTGAACACATATCTAGTTTGTGAACGGGTTTTATGCGGATCAGAAAGAAAACCAGCATCTGCATATCCAATAAGAATCTGGTCATTTATGGATTTCTTTGAGTAGAAGATACCCATGTCTATTGTCCCACGAAGGTATCGCAAAACATCTTTGATTCATTTCCAATGATGAATTGTTGGAGCAGAGTTATACCTTGTTAACAAGTTAACTGAAAAACTATATATGATATAGTACATTGTGCAAAATACAATTGTTGGTACCATATATTGGGCCTCGTATATTTGGGCCTTGGGCCTTGTATTTGGGCCTCACACTAAAGCCCATACTTTGTAAAAGAGGATGAGCCTCTTATTCTATAAAAGGGGACTCCTACCCTCATTCTAAGGGAGGCAAAAGAGCCAAGCCTAAGAAGGCTAAGAGAATCTATCATTACATTTAGGAGAGACCTCACACCACCGAGGCTCTCCTCTCCCTTCTCTTCTTTCTCCGGGGACTTCCCCCAAACACTTGTATCCATACACTTACAGAGAAATACAATACAATCAGTGTGGACGTAGCCCAAACCTTGGGGTGAACCACGATAACTCTTGTGTCATTTACATTACTTGCAGATTCACGGTCGGATTTACGTTGTACCAAGACCATCCGGTTTTGTGCATCAACAACAATAAAGCACCTATTGCACTTAGATATGGTGTTTTTTGGACCAAGGACCATTTCATCATCTTCTTTTGAACAAAAAGGTTCTTTCTTAATGTCCAAAGAACGAACGACCATTGGTGTGCTGAGTGGATAAGCCTTATCCATGCCAAATCGCTTTAGGATTTTTTTAATGTAAGCTGATTGGTGGACCAAAATTCCATTAGCACAATGATCGATGTCACATCCTGGCCTGGGGCGGATCACTTCCCGAGCCCACTCCACCACCATAGCACGATATTGTCCGCTTTGGGCCCTGACCACGCCTTCACGGGTTTGTTTCTGGGAACTCACGAGCAATTTCCCAGTGGGTCACCCATCCTGGGAGTGCTCTGGCCCCCTTCTCGTTTAACTTCGGAGTTCCTACGAAACCCGAAGCCAGTGAGCTCCCAAAAGGCCTCGTGCTAGGTAGGGATGGGAATGTACATTTAAGGATTACTCCCCTGGGCGATGTGGGATGTCACAATTCAACCAAAAAATTTTTGGTGTACCGTATCCAAATTGGTCACCCATCATAGGATTGCTCTCACGCACTACTCGCTTAACTTCAGAGTTCCGATGGAACCCGAAGCCAGTAAGCTCCTAAAAGGCCTCATGCTAGGTAGAGATGAGAATATACATATAAGGATCATTCCCATGGGCGATGTGGGATCTTACACTCAATATACAGGCCGAGACAATATTTTGTTTTTCCAAGGTATTTCATTTCAAATTCGCTTTTCAGATATTCGGCAGTTTTATTGAGCTCTTCAGGGGTTCCAACTAGGTTTATATTATCGACATATACTGCCACTATAACAAATCCAGAATTAGATTTCTTAATGAACACACAAGGGTAAATGACATTGTTGGTATATCATTCTTTGATCAAATACTCACTGAGACGGTTATACCATATTTATCCAGATTGTTTTAGCCCATATAATGATCGCCTTAATTTGATTGAGAGCATACCTCGTGGTTTGTTAGTTGTTTCAGGCAACTTAAGCCCTTTTAGGACCTTCATGTATATGTCAATATCTAATTCTCCATATAGATATGCAGTGATGACATCCATAAGTCGCATGTCAAGTTTTTCTTAAACCACTAAACTTATTAAGTAACAGAACGTAATTGCGTCCATTACAGAAGAGTATGTCTCCTCATAATCAATTCCAGGTCTTTGTGAAAAGCCTTGTGCAAAGAGTTGTGCTTTATATCTTGCAATCTCATTTTTCTCATTACGCTTTCTTGTGAATACCCATTTGTAACCCACAAGGTTTACATAAGGCCGAGTTTGGACTACTGGTCCAAAAACACTTCGCCTTTCCAAGGAATTTAATTTTGTTAGAATTGCATCTTTCCACTTAGGCCAATCTTGTCTCTATTTGCATTCATCAACAGAGCGAGGCTCAATATCATCACTTAATATGATTTCAGTGGCTACTGTGAATACGAACATGTTATCGATGATTATTTCATTCTGATCGCATAATTCATTAGTACATGCATAATTTATGGAGATTTCTTTGCTTTCATATACCTCTGTCTCTTCAGGGACATGTGTCGCATCAAGGACATTTTCTTTTTTCTGAAAGTACAGAATCATGACTTATGGATTTGTCATTCATTCTCTCTTCCTGAATGATTTCATTTGGATTCAGTTGTGCCCTCGTCTTTCTCTTTCGAGGGGCTGAATCTTTTGAACCTGAAGGTCTACCACATTTCAGGCGTGCACTAGATGAATCATTTGCTGCCACTTTATTTTGCCAAACAGGGACATCAATTCTTGCAGGTTCATTTCTAGCTGGTATATGTGATTTTGTCACTTTCATAGCATCATTAAATGCATATAGCATTTGATTAGTAATACTTTGAAGATGAACGATCATTTTCACTTCATTTTCACATTGAGTGCTACATGGATCAAAATGAGACAATGTGGGTACAACCAATGTCAGCTCTTGCCGTTTTTTTTAACAGTCTTTTCTCTCCCTAATGACGGGAAGACTGTCTCATCAAAGTGACAATCAGCAAAACGAGCTGTAAACATATCACATTTCAAGGGTTCCAAATATCTAATGATAGATGGTGAATCAAAACCCACATAAATTCCTAGTCTGCACTGATGTCCCATTTTTAGTACATTATGGTGGTGCAATAAGCATATAAACAGCATAACCAAAAACTCGTAAATATGAAATGTTTGGTTGATGCCCAAACACGAGTTGTACTGAGGAGTATTGGTGGTTGGCTATAGGTTTCAATCGAACTAATGATGTAACATGTAAGATGGCATGTCCCAATGTAGAAACTGGTAATTTTGTTTTCATGAGCAGAATGCGAGCTATTAGTTGAAGCCGCTTAATAAATGCTTATGCTAGACCATTTTGAGTATAAACATGAGGAATATGGTGTTCAACAGCAATGCTTAATGTCATGCAGTAATCATCAAAGGTTTAAGACATAAATTCACCAGCATTATCAAGTCGGATTG